CCCCCAGAACTGTCCCCAACCCCTCGGAGCTGTCCCCTCCCCCCAGCTGTCCCCTCCCCGCGGTGTCCCCAGGTCCCGTGTCCCCCCCGTGACAGGACATGGCACACGGACACGGTGTCACCTCCCCCCGTGGGATGGGGACAGACACAAGACACGAGGATGGTGACGGTGACGCGGCGCCAGCGCTGGGGGACCCTCGGTGACAGCCCCGCCCCCAGCCCGGCCACCCCCCCGGGGGGACAAGGGTGGCACCTCCAGGGGGAGGGGACAGAGCCGATGGTGGCACCTGGGGGGACACGGGGACACCTGGGGTGGTGTCACCTGAGTGTCCCCAAAGTGTCCTCAGTGTCCTCAAGGGACATGGGGACACCTGAGAGGACATGGGGACACCAGGGGTGGTGTCACCAACGTGTCCTCAGTGTCCTCAAGGGACATGGGGACATCAGGAGTGACATGGGGACACCTGGGGTGGTGTCCCCAAAGTGTCCCCAAAGTGTCCTCAGTGTCCTCAAGGGACATGGGGACACCTGGGATGGTGTCACCAACGTGTCCTCAGTGTCCTCAAGGGACATGGGGACACCTGAGGGGACATGGGGACACCTGGGGTGGTGTCACCAAAGTGTCCCCAAAGTATCCTCAGTGTCCTCAAGGGACATAGGGACATCAGGAGGGACATGGGGACACCTGGGGTGGTGTCCCCAAAGTGTCCCCAGTGTCCACAAGGGACATGGGGACATCAGGAGGGACATGGGGACACAAGGGGTGGTGTCCCCAAAGTGTCCCCAGTGTCCACAAGGGACATGGGGACACCAGGATCCGCATGCCCAGGTGACACAGGGACATGGGAGGGACAGGAGGACACCAGGAGGGACATGGGGACATTCCAGATCCGTGTCCCCAAGGGTTCCCAGTGTCCCTTGGGGACACAGGAGGGACATGGGGACACCAGGAGGGATGTGGGGACACTGGGGGTGGTGTCCCCAAGGAGTCCTGAGGGACATGGGGACATCAAAGGAGGACACCTCGGTCCATGTCCCCAGGGACATGGGGACACCAGGAGGGACATGGGGACACCCGGATCTGTGTCCCCAAGGGTCCCCAGCGTCCCTTGGGGACACCAGGAGGGACAGGAGGACACCAGGAGGGACACAGGGACATCAGGAGGGACATGGGGACACCGGGGTGGTGTCCCCAAGGGGTCCTGAGGGACATGGGGACACCTCGGTCCATGTCCTCAAGGACATGGGGACACGGGAGGGACATGGGGACACCTGGATCCGTGTCCCCAAGGGTCCCCAATGTCCTTTGAGGACATCAAAGGGTCTTGGGGACATCTGGATCTGTGTCCCCAAGGACATGGGGACACCAGGAGGGACATGGGGACATCAGGAGGGACATGGGGACAGGAAAGGGACATGGGGACACCTTGGTCCATGTCCCCAAGGGTCCCCAATGTCCTTTGGGGACATCCAAGGGTCTTGGGGACATCTGGACCTGTGTCCCCAAGGGTCCCCAGTGTCTCTGAGGGACATGGGGACACCTCGGTCCATGTCCCCAAGGACATGGGGACACCAGGAGGGACATGGGGACACCAGGAGGGACATGGGGACACCAAGATCCATGTCCCCAAGGGTCCCCAGTGTCCCCTGGGGACACAGGAGGGACATGGGGACACAGGAGGGACATGGGGACATTCCAGATCCGTGTCCCCAAGGGTCCCCAATGTCCTTTGGGGACATCCAAGGGTCTTGGGGACATCTGGATCTGTGTCCCCAAGGGTCCCCAGTGTCTCTGAGGGACATGGGGACACCAGGAGGGACATGGGGACACCTCGGTCCATGTCCCCAGGGGACATGGGGACACAGGAGGGACATGGGGACAGGAAAGGGACATGGGGACATTCCAGATCTTTGTCCCCAGTGTCCTCTGGGGATACGGGAAGGACATGGGGACACGGGAGGGACACGGGGACATTCCGGATCCGTGTCCCTGCAGGTCCCCAGTGTCCTCTGGGGACACGGGAGGGACATGGGGACATTCCGGATCCGTGTCCCCAGGGGTTCCCGGCGTCCCTTGGGGACATTCCGGATCCGTGTCCCCAAGGGTTCCCGATGTCCCCAGGGGACATTCCGGAGGGTTCCAGATGTCCCCAGGGGTTCCCAGCGTCCCTTGGGGACATGGGAGGGACATGGGGACATTCCGGATCCGTGTCCCTGCAGGTCCCTGATGTCCCCAGGGGTCCCCGGCGTCCCTTGGGGACAGGAAAGGGACATGGGGACATTCCGGATCCGTGTCCCCGCGGGTCCCCGGCGTCCCTTGGGGACAGGAAAGGGACATGGGGACATTCCGGATCCGTGTCCCCGCGGTTCCCGATGTCCCTTGGGGACAGGAAAGGGACATGGGGACATTCCGGATCCGTGTCCCCGCGGGTCCCCGGCGTCCCTTGGGGACAGGAAAGGGACATGGGGACATTCCGGATCCGTGTCCCCGCGGGTCCCCGATGTCCCCAGGGGTTCCCGATGTCCCCAAGGGACACAGGAGGGACATGGGGACATTC